TCTTTAGGTGAATGAGTAGGGGGGGTACGAAAACCTAATGTATAATACGATGACAAACGATGTTGTATACGACCATGTACGATCGTTTACGTTGGTCGTATTCACGTCGTATTTTGTCGTATACGACACGACGATATACGGTCGTAATTCTGGTGTCAAGTAATACGACGAAATACGGTCGTATACGGTCGTAATTTACACTGTATACGACTGTATACGATCGGATACGACGTCGTATACGATCGTTTACGACTGTCGTAATGCACGTCCTGGGCAGCTAGGCATTTATGAATTACGTCTACTCGATTGTACAGTGACAAAAAATATTTATGACTTGAAACATGTTTGGCCTGTTCGAGTATTAACAATATCCGAATCAATTTTCACTAGTTTATTTCCTTACGGTCGCTCCTATATTGAGACTAGATAATAATAGTAATATTTTTTTTTACAATGGATTCAAATTTTTGCTGTTTTATTTAACTCAAAATATATGTTCATAAGAACCATTGATAATTCAAAAATAGAGTAGTTACTTTAATATTTACTTATTTCGGAAGGCCTCATTATTATTATCACACAATAGATTGAAAATTTTCTTTAAGCATACGAGCGATTACACTGACAGTAGAAAACATTATTTATTGTTTTCTCGAATTTCAGACAGCAACAATAAAATCAGCGTTATATGAAAAATAATCTTTAAAACTGATTTCGATTAGTGAAAAATTAAAGTAGTATTTATATTCTACATATAACAATTCCTTGATTATTTAATATCTTTATTGGAACTTATTATTTCTGAGGATCATCTTCTTAAACAGTTGTTCATTATCTACATAGATATTTTCTGCACTTAGCTCAAATCTTATGTAAAATGAAAATCTTTTTAGATGTCTTTTTTACTCACTGCACTAGTTCAATTTGGCGAAGAGACAGAACTTGTCGATATTTATGTTGGTGCTGATCTAGCTGATATACATGTTCAATTGATGGCTCCATTTCATTTAAATCCATCTCAATATATTATTCAAGTTTTTGAATCAAAAATGTTCAACGAATATGTTAATCTATCAAAAATTTCTGTACTCAATAATATGGATTCAGGTCGATTTCGGGTTATATTACAAAAGGTATCTAATAATTTTTTTTCCTGGTGAGACATGTATACTAAACATTTTAGGTTGACATAATACAAATGCCAACTACACCAACTAATTCTAATCGATCGTTGTCGCTGTTAAGTCTTGATAATGTATCACCACAATGTCTAAATCAAGCAAATACACTAGCACCTAGTTTTAACTCAACACAGGTTAATAATAATTATTTATTGTAAAGAGTATTTTCTATCAAATCTTCTTGCACAGAACAACTTATCAGTATCTTACAAAGATCATTTGGATCAAATGAGTTGTAACGACGAAAATGATAATCAAGAGTTGAATACGTTCGATTGCGTCGAACAACCATTGAAATGTCAACGAGATAGCAAGCGTAAACGTGATTTGGTATGTAGAGTAATAATTAAATTTGTAGTCTTTGATTATAAATTATATTATTGATTTTCAATAAGGTAGATTACGTTAATAAGTAAAATATGAGATTCGAAAAATTCGTCGATAGATTTTCAAAATTGAACTATCATCTATCTTCTGTTTTAGAATAAATTACGTGAATTGCCACCTTTACCATCATCTAATATTTTACCAGCTTTTCCTATTAATATAAAATATGCCATTTCTGTAGGTGATTGAGATGAATGTTTTGTTTAAATTTCAAGCACATAATTAAACTTTTTAGGTATGATGCAATCTGTTATTCAAGACGTAGTGAATATGTTGGCTTGTCATTTATTTGATTATAATATTTCATCGAAAACACATTACTTTCAAATACGTGCTGCTTTTGTTAAAGAATATTCAATGAATGAATTTAAGGACAATCGAGATCTTGTTTGTCTATTAATCTTCACTTATTTAAAATATTGAACAATTTTTTATTTACGATATAGGATCTCCTTATCCAAAAATTATCTCGTCGACTACGTGATTTACGATGTCGTAAGAAAAAAAATAATTGTGATGGACAATTTTCGCTTGATTGGGATAACGATCGTTATCAGGATGGTGCGAATCAAAAGAATTCACCAGTTATTGAACCAGCAACAACTGGTAAGTTTATTCTTGCTCTTAATATAATACAACTATGTTTCACAGATAATACTGATTCGATTGAATCGAAAGAATTCATGAAAAAATTGACCGATGCATTTCACAACAATGAAATGACAAAAGGCACAACCACTCAATTGATTGTTGAATCCTTCCGTACTCGTCGAGCTTATTTACAATCTGGTCAAAGTATGCAACAGATTTTAAACGAGATGCCTTTTACACAAAACATAACATTTGTAAGTGTTATTTTTTTATCAGTCCTTAATTGTTATTCTTTTTCGAAAGATCAAATTGGAATTTGAACTTGTTACTAAAGTGTCATTAATGGTTGCTACTGAACGTATTCGGAAGTTTCTCGATAACATTATTTCATATGAAATCTATGGTAAATTATCTGATGAAAATGTACGTATGAATAATATCTGAATAGAAAACATAAAAATCTCAAAGAGACTTCTTTAAAATGACAAATTTAATGAAACAGTATCACCTTTTATCTTCTGTGTGTTTAATTTGGGATGAAAAATTCAATCTAAATTTATTTTTCTCATCGTTTTCCCAAAATTTCAACTTTATAGCCGTGAAGCTAAGATTGAGCTATAAAATATTCTATTTTTTTCCTTTTCTTAAAACTTCGGTGTTAGTAAAACAAAAAGAATATTTCAAATTATTTAGAGAGATGAAGAGTTAATGAAAAGAGTTATTGCACGTATGGGAGCACGTTACAGAAACATTATCATCAATATAAATGTTTGAGCAAAAATAGTTTTGTCTTCGTCGATTCATGATATAGTTTCATTGATGTTTTTAGTAATTTTATGGTTTTTTTTGCAAATATTTTTATTTGTGCCACGATTAATTTTACATTGCTAAGCATGTTTTCATGATCGTTTAAAGTCTTGCATGGCTGGTTAATCTATTCTATCGCTCAGTTCTTCACTATTTTTGTATTTTTCATGTTTCAGTTTCCTGATGAAGTCAGTATTATGAATCTTATTCCATTGCTGGAAATAGATAATCTATCACCATTACTTTATTCTTGCACGCATCGTAATCAAACTTACTGTTACTTGACATATTCGAACCAAATTTTACTTGAATTTGATGTTCAAACTGATATGGCATATGTATTGACTGTACTATTGACCATTTTTTTATCTATTTGATATTAAATTTCCACGATGCAATAAACCAATCCTCGAGATATTGGATTATTTCGCACTTTATGGAAGCCACGTCAACGTTAAAATAAAAACTTCACTTGCAAAAAAATTAACTCTAGCAGCTCACAATCTCATTGTTGAATATGAAAAAAAACTATGCACATAAAAAAACATTTTTTAAATGTTTTTTTTTCTTTAAAAATTGATTTCTTCAATAACTAAAGCTTACAGAATAAAATTAATTTTTTCTACTACACACATAAACTTATATAAATGATTAATATATTTATTGGAGCAATAATAGAAACTAAAATGCATTATAATACCAGTACGCGAATATAATTACAAAATGCGACTAAGGCTAGGCTCGAACTCGATCAGTTTATTTGACAAATGTGTCCTACAACAATGTGTCGCACCTTTCCTGGGCAGAATATGTCGCAACCAGCACCTCGTGCCGCACTGGAATGTATCGTACATTGTGTCGCAAATCACGACACATGCAACACATTTTGACTTCGTGTGTGGTACCTGTGACAATTGTTTTTTTTTCGTTCTTCTCCATAGCTCTGTCACATCAAATTACCAGAGTATAGAAAAAATGCATACTTCGGTCGATTCTATAGATACTTGAAAATGCACAATCCTTCTTGCATGGGCCTGTAACTCAGGGGTAGAGTGTTCGCTTTGCATGCGAAAAGTCTTGGGTTCAAATCCCAACTCGTCCACTGTTTTTTGTACTCGTGACAATTGTTTTTTTTTCGTTCTTCTCCATAGCTCTGTCACTAGGCATGCACCAAACCCAAACTCAAACCCAAACCGTTTGGGAGTTTGGGTTTGGGTATTGAGTTTGGGTTTGGGTTTGGATTTGGGTATATGAGTTTGGGTTTGGGTTTGGGTTTGGGTATTTGAGTTTGGGTTTGGGTTTGGGTTTGGGTATTGAGTTTGGGTTTGGGTTTGGGTGTGGGTATTGTGTTTGGGTTTCAGTGTCAGTTTGCTACATTAACCCACTGAACTACTGGACTTAACATGCAATGCTATTTGCGTCAAGTCTCTTCACTATATTTAACTATTTATCCTGTATAGATATAAGCAAAAGCATATTTCCATTCTTCACATTGTTAAGCAGTGAAATAAATTCATTCTC